GGTACTTTTTTAGGGGGAGTAAGGGGTATTTGTAAAGGGACTAATTAGAGCTTATCATTCAATATGCATTCGTGAATTTTAAGTTTTATCTTCTCTTCACAAGAAACATTGTCATCATTATAACCACATTTTCTCATTTTCTTTCAACTCGCCATCTTTCTTGCTTGAAATGGAAGTACAAGGCTTGCTTGTTTTCGTTAAGCTAGGATGTTTGCTCATTTTATTAACATTATCTATTATGGGCTATCAGATTATACCGACATCATTTGATTAGTGTTTTTGTGAGGTAGTGAATCCTCCTTTTCCATTCTTGAATTTTTCTCTTTTTAAGCTTTTGGATTTGTTTCGTGTACAATCCCCTCTTGACTTTATCAAAATTGTCTATAATGCCCCATGATTCTCTTCCTTCAAAGATTTCAATTAAGAAGGTTGTATCGTGCTAAAGCTTTGATAAACATCATTTATCATGAAATTCTTTGATATTTTGTATTATTTATCATGTTTTATAAAAAATACTAATACATCATTATGTAAAGTACAAAAAAGAAAGCTTTTATGGACTATTCACGTTTGAAAATAAAGGTGGTTTTAAAAGATTATAAAATAATGTATTCAATCATGAAATGGCAATAAAAGAAAATAACAAGTAAGGGAAAATGCTAACGAGATAAGATGAATTAGCCAAAATTTTGATAAATATCATTTTACTTTCAACAATGGGATTTATAATTTATATGCAATACTTCTTCACAACATCTAAATTTACTAGTTTTTGTAATTCATCACAATCCATGTTTATTACAATGAGAGCTTCTCCCGAGAAAGCCTTCTTCACCATGTATGGACCTTTATAGTTGGGTGCCCATTTACTCTAATATGCCCTCAATATTTACAAGAATTTCCTCAACACTAATTCTTCTTCTTAAAAACTTCTTCGATGCATCTTGTTATTATATGCTCTTGCCATTCTTTTATGGTTTAGTTGGGCATCACAAATAACAACAAGTTGCTTCTCACTTATTAGATTCAATTGTTCTTACTAGATCTTTATCCATTTAGATCCTTTTAATTTTGTCTTCTTCAAAACTCTTAGAGAAAGTATTTTTCTACTTCTAAAGGCATCACCACCTTTATTTCATATACTAAAGAATAAGGAGTTATCCTCGCTCAAGTTCTAATGGTCGCTTGATAAGCATGTAATGTAAATGGTTACATCTTTTACCAACTTTTGTATGTCACCACCATTTTTGGATAATTTTCTTTAGATTTTCGTTTCGTTGCTTTTAGACCCCATTAATCTTAGGCCTATATGGAGAAAAATTATCATGCTTTATCTTCTAATATTGGCACAAATCTATCATCATTTTACAATTGAAGTTTTGAGTATTATTTGTTATCATAATTTTAGGAGAGCTATATCTACGGACGATATCCTTCTAAAAGAAAATGACGCACCACCTTTTAAGTCATATGCATAAAAGAAACAACTTTGACCTGTTTTGTAAAATAATCAATCAATATGACGATGAAGTAATGCTTATTTCTTACTTATCAACCCAATCAAATCCATGTCCCACATTGCAAACGAGTAAGGGTGATACCTTAGTAAAAACAAGTGATGGTGAAGCATTTATCCAATCAAAATGAATCTAACATTTATGATAGTTTCACATATAATCGATACAATTATATTCCATAGAGAGTCTAAAAGTAACCACTTTGTTGAATCTATCGAGTCATCATATGTTTGTTAGCATTTATAACGTAGATCACCTCATAGACTTCTTTTATGGTCTTTTTTGTCTCAACTACATCTAGATATCTCGGTAAGAAGCAATCAAAACTTCTTTTGTACAAGACTTCTTCATCAAGATAAAAATCTATTGCAAACTTTTTGTGTTTTTCTATCATTCTTGATTGTATTCAAGATATACTCATAAATTTTAATGAACTCGCTTGATATTATAATACCACGTTTGTCCATCTAATTCATCTTTAATCAAACAAAAATAGCATGTTAGAGTATATCTAGTTTCAATGTATATGAATTGAATTTTTATACCACATTCAATTACTATCGTTGAGGTAAGAGTAGACAAGGAATTGGTGAAATGATTCTTCTCTCTACCTAGATGGGTGAACTCAATTTCATCGAATCAATCAATTAGTTTTGTCAAGTACTCTTGATATTGTTTTAGTTTTTCATCCTTTGTTTTCCATTATCTTTCATTTGACTGATTATGAGTAACAAATTGACATACACTTCAATATAGCTAATTTTCATCTCTAAGACTACTTTTAAACTATGCACACATACCTCATACTTTGCTATGTTGTTCATGTATTTGATATGTAACTTGATGGATAGGAAAAATTGTTTTTCCTTTGGTGAAATCAAGACTCGACCCTATACCATTTCCAAACACATTAATTGCTCCATCAAAATAAAAAGTCTATATGTCACCATTTGCCTTAAGCTCTTCTTCAACCACCACAATTGAATCATAAAGAAATTTAAATTTCAAAGGCTTCTAATCATCAATATTGTTGTCTACCAAATGAATAGCATTGCACCTCCTTTCCTCACCTTCCTCGTCATGTACACAATATCATATTTGGATAATAGGACTTGCCATCTTGCATTCAATCTGGATAGTTATGGTTTCTTAAAAATATGTTTAAGCGAGATCCATCTTTGAAATCAACCAAGTAGTGTAAGAGAGCATGTACTTGTCTAAGTTATTATGCATACCATACCGGACTACAACATATCTTTTAAAGTAGACTATAGCTTGACTAACAATCAATAAACTTTTTGTTCAAATAGTATATGGCTTGTTCTCTCTTCCCCAACTTGTCGTGCTAACCTAGGACATATCCTACTGCTACCTTTGTCACTAATAAGTATAAAATCAAAGGTCTTGCCAATTTTAGTCGCACTAATAATGGTAGATTATATAAGTATTACTTGATATGATCAAATGTTTCTTGCCATTTCTCATCCTAAACACCAAGATTCTTCTTTTATAACAACTAGAAGATCAACTCATATGTTATGGTTAGTTATGAAATAAAATAAGAATATAATTCAATCAACCTAGAAAGCTACTAATTTCTTTCTTATTTTTGGGTAAGGGCATGCCATGAATGGTTTTGACTTAATCGACATCAACTTTGATTCCTTTGCTACTTACTATGAACCCGAACAACTTTTCTAATTTCACAACAAAAGTGTACTTTAATGGATTCAACCTTAGTTGGTATTTCCTTAATCTCTCAAATAGTTTCTCATAATCTTTTCCATCCTTAGACTTCATAATCATATCATCCACATATACTTTAACATCTTTGTGCATCATGTCATCGAATAATGTAACCATAGCTCTTTGATAGGTAGTCATAGTATTTTTCAACCTAAAAAGAATAACTTTGTAACAGAATGTTCCCCAAGGTGTGGCAAATGTCATTTTATCTTTGTCTTCCATAATGTTCTTAATTAATTATAACCTAAAAATTCATCCATGAATGATGTTAACACCTAATTTTTTATCCCAATTAATTGTTTTGAATTTATGAGTTAAAAAATACAAAAAAAGCAAGAAAAGGAAAAAAGAATTATTTGAAATATGATTTGGATGATCTAATTAAAAGAAATAGGAAGTTCGAGAACAAAAGAAAACCCAATTAAGGGCGTAATTGAAAAGTTTGAAAAACCCCAAATCCCTAATTTTAAAAAGGAAAGCATACAATTGAGAGAAATTTAAAAGAAGAGGTTCGTAATAATTACAATTTAGGGATGCCATTTAAGTTCAAACTATCAAAACTACACATAAATTGATGAATTAAGAGGTATCCGGAACAAAAATTAACCTTTACCAAAAAAAAAAAAAACAAAAACCCTAATTTCCTCTAAAATACCCACCCCTTTTTTTTTTTTTTATGCTAGTTACTATTCATCATCTCCTACAAACTTTTATAGCAACCATCTCCTTCCATCTAGTTGAACCCTAGCCTCCTTCACCATAAAAAATCCCGGACACCACCTTTCCTTCATCATCCAAACCATCGGAATCTATTAAAATAACTATTCACCATCTTCTTTAAAACTTGGTATGCACTATCCATGCTCCATTGTAGCCAAAACTTATCTCACCCATACAAGCCTTCTCTTTCATTTTCCTTCTTGGTCGAATCCTCCACAAGCCACCACCATACAAAGCCAAGCTCCCTCTTCTACTTTCCCTTGGATGAATCCTCCATAAGCCATCACCACATCAAGTCATGACCCTCTCCTCCATCTCTTTCGTCTCTCACTCTCGATTGTGGCCACATCAACACAACCCCTACCCATTTCTTAGTTAAGAGTTATAGCTCCTCCTCTACACAAGTAAGCTAAACTAGCCCTCTTTCTTTAGTTGAATCGGTCCCTCTCCATTATAGCTAAATACCAAGCTCATCTCTTCCTCCTTTTTACTAAAACAAGTCCTCCTTTTTTTAACCAAGTTAGTCTTTCTTTATTGTAACTAAATACCGGACTCTCTTCTTCTCCTATTTCTATTAAGAAACGCACACTTACATCATCGCTTCTAACGAGTGAGTTACAATAGCCCTTACTTTCCCTCAAGGTCAGCCCTCATAAAAACTAGCCAAGTTAAAAATACACCAACTAACCATTTGAACATAACCTAATGACTTCTCCGTGGCAACATCTCTTCTTCCACTGTTTTATCCTAAAACCACCTAGTGTTGCAGCTCTAATCCTGGATATAATCAAACCAAAATATGGAAAATATGTGGGTTGACTTATGTTGGGAGTAAAGAAGAATTGTAGTTAATTTTTTTGATAGAGTAACAAAAGCATAGAAAAAACTTATTGTTTGGTTGATTGTTGAGTTTGGCATGAACATCATGATATGATAGACTATATTATTTGTTTTCTTTCTTAAAAGAATAAGACGATGTAGTAGTCCTCTTGCTACCAAGTCATTCAACCTCAACCTATGCCGACGGTGTTGCTCGTTGCCATGTCCCTCTTAGTAGTAACCCATGTCGATAGCCTTATTGCTACCAATTCCCTCTTGGTAGCAACCTATACCTACAATCTAGTTACAACAAACTACTTCTCGACGATAACTTTACCAACAACATTAACTTTGATAAACGATAGTAAATTTAACGAAGAAATAACTTTGATAACTAGTAGCAATGGTTACTAGAACCTTTGGCCATAACAATAGCAACCATTAAAGGATTACGATTTTAGTGGGATCCATATAATATTTTGACAATGAGCAGCTATTTTTCTTTCTTGAATAAATGAACAATCAGTTATTATTAAGGATGTAGAGAGTGAAATTGACCCTAAATTGAGTTTTTGGAATTTTCATCATTCGACTATATTTTTTGGGTAACATTTGAAATTTGTACCTATTCAATATTATTTATTTATTGAAAAAAAAAAGAATATTGCTTTGGTTGTATTTATGGATGAAATTTGAAATGTGAATAGATACACCTTTGTGTATCAAACCCAAAAAAAGTAAGAGTGTATTATCCGTGACCTAAAATCTTTATAGAATGTAAATGTATTGCATAGAGATTTTAGTTAATTAATAAAAATTATATTTCTTAAATGTGTGAATGATCAAAATTTAATTAAGGGTAAAGTAAGCATAATTATGATTAAAAGGAAGTATCAATAGAATGAGAAAAGATTGAATTAGAGATTGGTAACATTAATTGTTATGGTTCTGTTTTGGCATAGGAGATTAATTAAAAAGATTAAAAGTTAGGTCCTTGATTAAAATGATTAAAAAATTTAGGGATTGGAATTATCTTTGTGATAGGCCTAGGATAAGGATCAAATTGATGGAAATTGTGAAGCTACGGACTAAAATTATAGGGTCGATTGCAAGGATTAGAAGTTTAAGGACTAAAGTGTAAAATATTAATCTTTTAAAGGACCTATTAATTGAACTTAAATGATAATTTTTAGCTAGAGAAATCTGGAAATTTCAAAGAAAGAGAGGGGGAATGTTGGTTGAGGAGATAAGAAAGAAGAGAAAATATCTAAGGAAAAGGGAAGGAGAAAAGATGATGAGGACGAAGAAAAATGATGGTGCAATTAATGACTAACCTCAAAATTAATCCAAGTGTGATACACTTAGCGTGATCTTAAGGGAAAAAACCTAGCTATAAGTATGGAGAAGAAAGAAAGAGGAAAGGTACACAAGTAAAGCTTCCAAGTAGCCCTAAAGGAGAGGAAACCAACCAACCGCCAACTCCAAAACCATTTTAGTTAGTCTAGAAACACTCTAAATTAACCTTCAAACTAGCTTAGAGGATCAAGTAAAGAGAGGAAAAGATTCTTCATCTTGGTCGAACCACTTAGAGGAAAGGAGGAGAAATGAACAAACAAAGAAAAAAGGAAGAGAGGTCATGCTCTAATTAAGGTAAGTGTAATTCCTCATTACACCATAAGAAATTATGGATTTTGATTGGTGCTTGGTATTGTTTAAATTCTATTTGATTGAGCTTTAATGAATGTATTATTGAGAATTACCTAGTGATGTTGAATTGGAATAAATTCATGATGCATATGTATTAATGATATGGAAATTGTGATGTTAAAATGATTGAATTGAATGAAATCATATGAATTAATGTTGTTCTTATTCCAAAAACAAGATGGATGGATAACTTTAAGCATGTATAAATTGGTGGTTCTATTATTTAATTCTCACATAAAGTTTGATAAAATGTCTTAAAGATGTTCAAAATGTTAAATTGATGAAATTGAAACTTGGTTATCTTGTGATCAATTTTAGCAAAATAAGAGGTCTTAATTAATTAGTAGTGGGAACCTAATTGATGTTAGAATGATAAGGAATATGTTAAAATAAGAGGTAAAGGTAAAAATTTGAGTTAAATTAATGAAATGAATGTTATACTTCCGTTGGCCTAATTTTCAACCAAGTATGGAAAATAAAGGATAAAGAGGTTAATGTGAGGCAAATATTCAGTGTGAGGTTCGGAGGTATAATTGATATGAAAATGATTATCCATGTTGCTTATCATATTTAGCCATGATTTGTTGAAAGATGTTATCCAGCTTCTTTGTTTGTTCATGGTCCATTTATGTATTGCATGCATACTTGATTGATTGGAACATGTATTTGATTTATTATGTATGTTATAGGTTCCTAAGGATTTAAAGTTATGCATATTGAGGTTTACGTTTAAGGCATTGTTTTTTATTTTAATGCATATGCATATCATAATCATAAAGAGGTTTTATATTCATGATTTTGAGGAAAGAAAAAGAAAAAGGAAAGGTTTTCAAAGGAAATGGCTTAGCCTTTGTGAGATTTATGAGAGAAGAATGATCACCCTCTCTTAAGGAAAATGGGCATACTTTGCTTGTTAAGGTTATGGGAATGTACCTAGAGCTTTTGTGATTTTTCTTAATTGCATATTTTTACAGAGGGTCAATTATATACACAATCAACAAGGTATGCCCAAAGAGGAAAATAAATTACAAAAGGCATGAAAATGTTTTTATAAAAGTTGTATCACATGCATCATATGCTTTGCATGGATTACACTTACTAAGCATTGCATTACTCACCTTTTTTTCTTTTAATGTAGGAGAGAAAAAGGATGAATGAGAAGTCACTACCAAGATATGCAAAAGACTTGCCTTTTGTGTGCTTAGGTGAAAGAGTATGAAGATCTTACTTTTGCTTAACTTGATTTTTGACATGTATATATGATAGTGGGTTAAGAAAATTTTGGTATGATAGTTAGTTAATAAATTTTTTTTCTAATAATAAACATACGGCTTGGATATTAAGTTAAATGTTATGTTAAAGCTTGTTAGTTATAGACTCAGCTACATGATATGGTTAGAATGATATAAATGATTTGATTATGGAAATGAATGAAATCAAGATAAAATACAAGTAATACCTAAATTATTACTAGATTAAATAGGCAATGAATTAAGGATAAAAAGTGGGTAATTAAAAAGGGAATGAAAAAAAGGATATTAAGGTTAAGACTAAAAGCATATCAATGGTTAAAGAATAAAAGTGTTTAAGGGTATAGTTTTAAATGAAGTAGGAACCAAAGTTCCTTAAGTCCTAAAATGTATTAAATGGCCAAATGATGAGTAAAAGTTTAAATGAATTTAGTAAAGGCTTTATTGAATCTAAGGAAAGTTATAACTAAGTCATTCTTAAGGAGGACCTAGAATATCATACTTATTAGGGACCTCACTGGTAAAATTTTCCCACATCGCTAATGAAATAAGAATGTTGGAAGATCATGCTTCTTGCCTTACATTCATTACACTCTGAATGTAAGTCAATATTGGTACTATCCACAACCTATCTAGATTCTAGGTTGGGAGTGATTATAAAGAGACCTAGATATCATGAGGTAAAATAAGGTCGATCATCAATGCTTTATGATAGAGTGGGAAGGATTGAGATTAGGTTCTAAATTTCAATGGTGGATGCAAGATAAAAATTGGTCCTAGTGTTTGCATAATTTATGCAATGTTATTGCTTATGTTGATTTGGTATGTTTAGTTCTAATGAATTGAATGCATGTGTACATGTCTAATGAATGTTATCCTTATTTTTGATAGCTAAAATGAAGTCTTCAGCAGCATTCCACTTATGTGAAAAAATTGCTAGTGGTTTTGAAGTTATATTACTTGGTTTTAGCTTATTCGAAACGAAGTCATAGGTGGCTTACCTTTGTTGTGAACGAAGTCACTAGTGATTCCCGAACAATTTTTATATGATTTATAACTAAAATAAAGCCATCAATCGCTTTTCATTTATGTACAAAGCTATCACTAGTTTTGAAGTTAATTTACCTATTTTTTGGTCATTCAAAATTAAGCCATTGGTGCTTCCCACCTACGTAGTCAACGTTACCTATGACTTCTAAATCTTTTTTTGCCAAATGATTCTTATCATGGGATAAATTCATAAGGGACTCACTATTTTCATTTTAATGATTTCTTTTATGGGCTTGAGTCACAAAAGACTTATCACTTTTATTATATCCAAATATTTCTGTTATGGGCTCGAGTCACAAGAGACTCACCATTTTTATTATGTCAAAAGATTTTTATTTTATTATGTTAGAACATTTCGTTATGGCAAGAGACTCACCATTTTTATTCTATCTAAAGATTTTTATTTTATTCTATCAAAATATTTCTATAATGGGCTTGAGTCATAAAAGATTTGCCAACTTTATTCTATGAGATCATTCCTGTTATAGGCTTAAGTCATAAGAGCCTAGCCATTCTATCAAAAGATTTCTATTTATTTTGCCATAATATTTCTATTATAGGCTTAACTCATAAAAGACTCATCATTTTTTTTTTTGTAGAATGTTTTTTTCATGGGCTTAATTCACAAGAGATGCACTACTTTTGTTCTATCAAATGATTTCTATTATAGGCTTGAGTCATAATAGACTCATCACTTTTATTTTGTCAAATGATTTCGTTATGGGCTTGAGTCATAAGAGAGTTATTTTTCTCTTTAAATGATTTTTTTTATGGGCTATTGTCACAAGAGACTCATCATTTTTATTCTATCAAATGATTTTTGTTATAGGTTTGTGTCATAAGAGACTTGCCAATTATATTCCGTCAATTGATTTCTATTATAAGCTTGAGTCATAAGAGACTCAACACTTTCATTTTTCCAAATGATTTCTATTATGGTCTTGAGTCACAAAAGACTCACTATTTTTTATTCTATCAAATGATTCCTTTATAGGCTTGAGTCATAAGAGTCTTATCACTTTTATTCCGATGTAACATCTTTATTATGGGTCGCAGATCACAAAGGACTTGCTATTTTCATTTTAATGATTTTTTTTATGTGCTTGAATGACATTGCCGTTTTTGCTCTATCGTAACATTCCTGTTATGGACATGAGTCATAAGAGACTTATTACTTTTATTTTATCAAATGATTTTTTTCATGGGTTATAGTCAAAAGAGACTTCGTATTTCTCATTTTAATGATTTTTTTATGAGCTGCACTAGTATGGGACTCGACATTTTTTATTTCATTTAAATGATTTTTTTGTGTGTTTTTTGTGGCACCACACTTGTGTGAATGGACTCACCGATGACCTCCTCATCTCTTTACTTGTATGAACATAAATTATCAAGTGACTTCTTATTTATATAGACGAAGTCACTAGTAGTTTCTTAAGTATATTAATATGGACTTGTAATCCTAAGAGACTCTTCTTTTAATAATATAGATTTGTAGTCACTAGGGTTTTACCCAAAATTCCAATTTTGTAGTCAATAAATTAACTACTCTATTGATGAAATGTCATGCTTAGGGTCAAGCTTTTAATATTTGTATTGATGAGTCTCTATTTCTATGCCTATGTATTTTGAGTAAATGATTTTTTTTTAATTATTTGCTCGTTTATATGTGTTGTGAAAACATATTTATGAATGTATACACATTTTACATTGTTTTCTCTTCCAGACTTCTTTAGTTGCCTAATTCTTAGTCTTTTATTTTATGTTTTGAGATTGGATATAGAGTTGTGACCCACACAAGGCATTGCATCTACATATTTAAACTATATATTTTTTGCTTCAGGATTTAGAGAGTTAGTAGTGATGCACCGATGAGCTTTACATGGGTAAATACTTATAAAACCTCAAGCCTTCTTGCTACTTGCCATTAGTGATAAGTAATCAATAATTTTCAAGATTTTTAATGTTATCATGGAAAGTCTTGATGATTCTACTAATGATTCACTAGGCGAGAATATACTCTTTTGAGACTTAGATATAGTATGGCTATTCATATAGTGGCTAGAATCGAACTTTAGGACCATCCTTTCTTGATTAAATACACTAGGAAAGTTAGACGTGTTTGAATCGTTGACTAAAAACTTGGTCATGATGTTTTAGGATGGATGATGAAAGAGTTCAAACTCAATTCAAGCAAGCTTCGAGTCAAAGTATTAAAATGTTACCGATGTGAATAATCACATATTTAAGCCTACAACAACCAATCTCGGAAGCAAAGGAATCAAAAAGAGGAACTCTTTTTTCACCTTTCGTATATAACTACTCCATATCTAGTCTCAAATGTCTTTATTTATGTTATTGTGTTTTATTATTTTATGTATTTATATACATAAGCTTAAGTTATCATATTAAAAATACATTTCCCCTTAAGAGTTGACAACTCAAGCCAAAGAAAAAATTGACAAAGAAGAAAGAGCTAAACTCGAGCAAAGATAAAAAAAAAGAGTTAGGTGGTTCAAAAGAAAAAGTGTCTAGGCTAGCTACTTTACTTGAAAGAAGCATTTAAACTTATGCTTCTACCGAAACGCCTCCTAATTTTGAAATAGATCATTCATATTCTATCCTTGAAATATTCACTACCATACACTTCTTAAGTGTTAGTTATTGTGCTACCTTTCTTTACTTCCCACCAAAAAGTTGTTAGCATTGTTAATCTAACAAACTACACTACATGTAGGGCATGTATGAGGTAGCTCTTCCCGAACTCTCTAATCCAATGCCATGGCAACCAAATATTTTGCAAACTTAAGCAAGTATTATGATTGATTTGGCTATTGACGAAAAGAGGAAAGGAAAATTAATCTCTAAGACTAAACTTGAGAAGCATAGTCCCATTAAGAAAAGTCTTAGAGCTATTTAGGGCATGGACATGCATGATTGTTTTTTGATAATGGACGGATGGTTCGTTTGAATTGTTATGATTCCTAAGAAGTTTAAAGTGTCAAAATTCTTGAAATACACTAGAAGTCAATGTCTCATAACTCATCTTAGGATTTATATGAACAAAATGATCGAAGTTGCTTATGATGAGAAGCTTTTGATTCACTTCTTTTTGAAAGTCTCAATGGTGCTACTTTGAATTTTTTTCATCAATTTTGATCAAATATAGCTTAAGAAATAAAGTTAGTTCAAGTATTCATAAGTTAGTATGGATCATCGACATCATCATTAACTAACTTTAATGTTGTGACTTTTCTATAGCTCAATGTCAACATGATGGAGAAGATTTTTGACATGAAGCGATTGTTTAAAAGTGTGTCGAAGATAAAGAGCTAACCAACTAGGCCAATGAGGAAGTTTTGATTATCTACAAGGTCGAGTAAACCTCTCTTTTGTCATTTTTTTTAACCTTCTTGAATTCTATCTCAAATCTAGAAAAGAAACTTTTAATGTGAATTCTTATTTTATTCATTTATAATACTAATACATCAAACTATATGGAGTTTCTTTTCTAAAATTTTCTTATCTACGTTCTTTTTCTCCTTGTTTTATTTGTACTTTTATTTTATTTTAGGAACATACATTCTAATCATCTACTTAAAAAAGAAAATGATTGTACTAAAAATGATTGACCTAAATTTGATAAAAATTTAATTGCAATGGATGAAGAAGAGTGAATAGAGGATGATATAAAATAAATTACAAAATTGGTAGAATAGTAAGAATTGTCCATCAAACCACATCAAGAAGAGTTAAAAGTGATAAATGTAAGTACTAACGAGAATAGATGAAAGTTAAAGGTTAGGACCATAATGGAGGATGTTGAAAAGGAAAGTTTGATCTCTAGAAAGAATACTCGATGTATTTTTTTTTTTTAAGCATATGCTAATATGCCAAGGCTAGACACAAAGATTGTAGAGCAAAGATTGCCTTTGAACTTCGGGTGTAAACTATTTGGAAAAAAATTGAGAAGGACAAGGTTAGATGTCTTGCTTAAGGTACAAAAAGAGATTAAGAAGCAACAAAATGCAAGATTCTTAGAACTTTTCAAATACCCATAGTGGGAGTCAAATATAATGGCAGTGGGTAAGAAAGATGATAAGATCTCAATTTGTATGGATCACTAAAATCTAAATAGAGAGAGTCTCAAAAGATGACTTTCTATTGTCATACATTGATGTCCTAGTCGATAATACTATAAAGAAACCACCTATTTGTTCATGGATGGATTTTTAGGGTATAATCACGTCAAGATTATTGTGGGTGATAAGGAGAAGAAGAATTGTGTCACACCTTAAGGAACATTTTGCTATAAGGTTATGCCTTTTGAATTGAAAAATGCTAGAGCCACTTACTAGAGAGCAATAGTTATACTATTTCATGATATGATGCATTAAGAAGTTAAGGTGCATATGGAAAATGTGATTACAAATCCAAAGAAAATAAGGATCATGCTCGGATTAAAAGAAATTTGTTTGAGAGATTAAAGATATACCTATTGAAGTTAAACCCCACAAAGTGAACTTTTGGTGTGAGGTCTAGAAAATTAATCGAGCTCATAGTAAGCAATGATGAAATTAAAATTAATCCTGGTAAAGTTAGAGCCATTCAAAGTATACCTTTATTGTTATTCAAGAAAAACGTTAAGAGCTTTTTTAATGGGTTGAATTATATTTCTCACTTCATTTCTTAATTAACCAACACATATGAGCCAATATTTCAACTACTATGAAAGAAAAATCTCAATGTGTGGGGTTAGGATTGTTAGGAAGCCTTTGATTAGATCAAGAAATATTTACAAAGTCCATCATTATTGGTGCTACTAGTACAAAGAAGACCTTTGATTCTATACTTGTTAATGATAGACGTGGTAGTGGGAAGTGTCTTGTGCTACCATGATGAGCTAGGAAAGAAAGAACAAGCTATTTATTACTTGAGTAAGAAGTTTACTAATTATGAATCAAAACACACTACACTTGAGAAGAAGTGTTATGGTTTAGTATGATATGTGCAATGACTTAGACAATACATGCTCTATTACATCACCTGGTTGATTTCAAAAATGGATTAGTTTATGCACATCTTTTAAAAGCAATACCTATCAATCATAAGATGGTAGGTCATGTAATCTAGATATAACATTGTATACATGATAAAAAAGATAGTAAAAGAAGCATTATAGTTTATCATTTGGCGAGATAATGTAATAGACGACTATGAGCTTTTAAGTTTGATTTCCCAAATCAATCAATTGTTATGTTTGAAAAAAGAAGAAGCTTAAGTTGGATGATGATATATGGGTTTTGTACTTTGATAGAGTTATCAATGTGCCAAGAAATGATATCGGGTCAATCTTGATCTCACCGTAAAGGAAACGAGTTTTCAATGGTAGCTAAGTTGCAATTTTAATGCATTAACAAAATTATTGATTATGAAGCATATGTGTATGGCCTAGAAGCAACCTTAGAGATGAAGATAAGCAAAATGGGTATATATAATGACTTTCTAATAATAATCGGTTAAGTCGGAAAGGAGTGATAGATGAAAGATGGAAAGCTAAAATCATTTTAAGAGTACATAACAAAATTAGTTAGACATTTTAAAGAAATTGAGTTCACCTATCTAGGTAGATTTTTTTTTTTTTTGATGCGTTGATAGCCCTCACTTCAATGATTGAAATCGAATGTCCCGTAAGCTTTAGTCCATTTGCATCGAAACCAAAAATACCCCGTGTAGTATATGTAGCCCAATTAAGAGGCCATAAGTTTTATGATAGCATTAAAAATTCAAAGCATAATGGATAGGACTATGACATGCTTGGCCAACGAGAGGCTAGGCATGCCACGGTAACATCCAATGCTTGTCGAATGCACGATGACACTCTCTAACATGGAACGTTATTTAGGACATGAAATGCATAATTAAAAATCTTTTTTTGTAAGGCTCAAAGGCATATAATTAAACCTATGATAACTTTCATCTAACTTATTAAAAGCAAACATAAATTTTCATGTCATGATGTAAAAATATTTCATTAATGTAAAAACATTTCATGATGTAAAATATTTTATTAATGTAGAAAACATGTCATAACATAAAACATTTAACATAAATTAAGCCAATGTAAGTTTGCAAAATAAAGTTTCATTTCATAAATGTCAACTCATTCACACATTATCATGGCTAAAAAGGCTATTTATTCATTATTTTTAGAAACCAAAAATTGGCAATGCATATTACATGGATAATGTCTAGACTACGAGCTTAAACCTACATCAATAGTACATCTTTCAATAACTCAAAACATGTCTTGTAGCACCTTTAATGTAGTAGCATCCTCTAGGTGTCATTACGATCATCTATACCACAAGACATGAATTGTGAGCCAAAGCTTAATATGTGAAACCACATATGAGTTTGTGAAACATGTTTTTGTAATGAAAGTTCTTTTTCGTCTTTCATACATGCCCTACAAAATGTATGATTTGGTGCTCTTTTAAAACCTTGACAAAAACATCATAAACTAGACATAGTCTAGTTGAGAGCTAACCCTAAGGTATACACAAGATCATTCCTTTGGGTGGCTTTTCTAAGATCATGCACTTGACCTCTTTACTTACTTAAAACACGACTTCATGAAATGTAATGTTAATGCCTTGTCATGAGTTCAAGTTATTCAAATCAAAGCATCAAGCAATTATCCATCAATTTGATAAGAATTCATACAACCAAGCAAAGAAAACACACTATCACATTGTCATAAGTTTTGTTTTTAACCAACAAGGCATATGTTTGCTCCCTTTCACCAATTAAACACCCAAAAAACAACATTACACGGAGGAATGTTCATAGTCCCTCATCAATATAGTTTACACACATTAGGTCTTGTGATGTAGTGAGAATTACACTTACTTAGGCAAGGTAGGGATTATACTTACTTGGGAAAGTTAGAGATGAAAAAAATACTTTAAGGTCCCTTAAGAACTTCACCTCCCTCATATCCCGGCTTTGGGCCAACCGCCCAAAATTTCCTCCCTCTCAACTAGCTCCCTCTCAAGGTCTTTGTCTAAGTTTTTCATTTGGCGTAAATAAATAGTCAAAAACTTAGCCAAAGCAAGCCTTCATCTATTTATTGTGCCAAACCATGCATAAAGAAATGGCAAAAAATCTTTGGTGATGACATATCTTTAGCTAACTCACCTATGTATGC